GAATCCCTTCTTCGATCAGTTGAATGCCGAAGAAAGACAATACGGGTATTTTCAGCAGGACAACGCTACAGCACATACGGCTAATGCATCCATGGTCGCAATACAGGAAGTGTTTGAAGACAGAATTGTCAGTAGAGGACTGTGGCCTCCCAGATCCCCAGATCTCAGTATTTCTGATTATTATCTTTGGGGCAACCTGAAGCAAAAAGTCTACAAAAATAATCCCCGCAGCATTGATAGTCTTCAAAATGAAATTACACGCGTAATTCATTCAATTACCGTCGACGAACTGCAGAGAGTGTCGCGTAATTTATTTGTGAGATGCGCGGCATGTTTGCAAGCAGAAGGAGGTCACTTTCAGCACCTGTTATAAACCACGGTAAGTTATCTTTTTACTGTATTCTTATAAATGTGTGCATGTAGAGCAACTGATGGACGGAGACTCAGCGACACCACTACACTCACACTATCGGGGAACGGCACTGCAGTCGCGGGGAGGAGTTGCATCCGTTCTGCGGTGGTATGACTCACGGCAAATTGCAGCCGCGGCGCGCACTTGATTGTACGCACTGTATTATTCACATCTAACTGAATAGCTTTTCCTTGGAATAATTTTAGTTGGTTTGTATGTAGTACTGATTGTGTTAGTCCTTTGTAAATTCCATCAGAGGGTGTGAGACATGGATGATGAGATAGTATGACAACTATTGAGTTGTATTCCACAAAGTAATGTTCATTTTATAAAGCACTGGAAGCAGAATGTAAAGAAGTACATTCCCTATTGTGTTTTAGCTGACTTCTCCTACCTAATAATTAATGTGTGCTGACGAAATCATACTGTCTATGGTTGTTTCCCCACTTTGAATTGGCTGTTGTTGCAAATTTCTGTAAGACTGTTAAGCCATTGGAGTCCATCCCAACCCCCATACATATTAATTTCTTATGGATGGCAATAACTATGACACTCAGACTTGTAAGGCTGATGGCTTTTATGTGTGCAGTTCACAAAAGTGAACTTCATTCTTTACCCATACATATCCTCAAGTTGTCAGCACTTCTTATTAATTTAATAACAATTCTGTGTATTTAAGTAGGGTATACATTTGAAACAGCATTTTATTATATTTTTATCTTCTGTGACATTAAATCTGCCCATGTAATTATTCAAATAGGAATCTTAAGTGTTTGTTGATCATTCTGTATGCAGTACATTTTAAAAATTATTATAGAGGCCTTTTCTTTATCATATCTTAGGGCCTTGTTAGGTCTACTCTGGCCCTGGGTACAAAAAAATAGACTTCACAAGTATATAAATAATTGGTTCTTTGGTGCTGTGCATTGAATATCTCATTGCTGCCATGCTGGTACTGTTGAAGATGAGTTGAAATGCAGCAAGGCTGAATGGCCTCTAATGGCATGCCACTCATTCTGTGCTACATAGAAATAAATGGATCAGGTAGTATTTGTAACAATGATGACAAACATTTGGCTCACCAGTAGATTCCAAAGGAAGTGTAGTGGACCAGTGGACATCAACAATGTAATGCCTCGATTCCTTATTTTTGTATGTTTTTATACAAAATGGATAACTGAATATATGATATGTTTGTTCCTCTGTAGGTGTAGTAGTCTGATAATTTGATTTCTAAGCGTACTGAATGTATTATGATTAAATTTGTTATTGCTAGGACCACATTATTTCATTTCATTTCATTTTTATTTGGCATTCATAACTGCTACAGCAGTAACACTCGAACAAGTCACATCATTAAACAAATCATTCAATCAATCAATCAATCAATCAATCAACTAATAAATTATTAAATACATCATTCTTGAAATCCTTTTGCCCAAATGCCTAAAGGATTAGAATTTGTCAACAATATACCATATGTCCAAAAAGTATCCCACTTTATTTTTTTCCTCTGTAAGTAATGGCCAAAGGGGTGGGGAAACTGAGCATAGTGGTAGAAGGGACTTTCGTGCACATGCATGATATTTGCTGACTCGCAACACTGCCGGATGCGTCTGTGGCTACCAGATAGCGAAGTGGTCTAACACGTGTTCGTCGCATTCTCGTTTCGCTCAAGATGACAGAATGCTTGGAGCAGTGATACTGCATTAAGTTTTGTCAGAAACTTGGGGATACTCAAGCAGAAACAATTTGCAAAATTCAGCAAGCTTTCAGAGATGATGCAATGGGAGTCACTCAAATTAAAGAGTGGTTCAACCGCTTTAAACATGGCCGTATGTCGGCAGACAGTGAGCAGCATTCCAGGAGACCATCAACGAGCCAAAATGCTGATGTAATTGAAAAAGTGCGGACACTGATCATGGAGGACCATCGTTTGGCCATCCGTGAAGTTGCTGATGAGGTTGGGATCAGCAGAGATTCCTCAAACACAATTTTAACTGAGGATTTGGGCATGCGAAGAGTGGCGGCAAAATTTGTGCCCAAGCTGCTTTTGCCGGAGCAGCAACAACTCCGCCTTGAGGTCATGCAGGACATGCTGGAGTGTGCCAACAGGGATCCCGAGTTCCTGAAGACTGTGATCACTGGTGACGAGTTGTGGGTGTACGGATATGACCCGGAAACCGAGGTCCAGGCATCACAATGGAAGCATCCAACATCCCCGAGGCCCAAAAGAGCACGACAGGTTCGGAGCAATGTGAAGGTGATACTGACTGTTTTTTCGATTACGGGGTGTTGTGCATCATGAGTACGC